AAGGTTGAGAATCACTCTTCTATCAGATTCAAGGTACTAGGTCTTCTGTTGAGGTCCTTGGTTCATTTGGAGTTGAGTTTTGTTCAGGGTGCAAGATAAAGATCTAGTTTCATTCTTCTACACGTAGCTATCCAGTTTGACTAGGATTATTTAAGGTTGCCTTTTCTTCAATGTGTATTTTTAACTTCCTTCTTTTAAAAAAAATCAAGTAGCTGTGGGAGCGTGGGCTTTTGTCCAGGTCTTCAGTTCTATCTCATTGATCACTGTGTCTGCTTTATGAAAATGCCATGCTGTTTTTGTTACTGTAGCTCTACAGTATAACTTAAATTAGGGATGGTGATAACTCAGCAGTTTTTTTTAATTGTTTACCATTGTTTTGTTTGCCCTGGATCTTTTATGTTTCCATATGAATTTTAAGATTACTTTCTTTAATTCATGTGAAAAATTATCTTGCAATTTTGGTGGGGATTGCATTGAATTTATAGGTTGCTTTCAGTAGGATGAACATTTTTACGATATCCATAAGCATGGAGGTCTTTCTATTTTCTGATATCTTCTTTATTTATTTCTTCAGTGTCTTAATTATGATTTCCATTGTACAAACCTTTCACTTCCTTGATTAAATTTATTCCAATATATATATATATACTGAGACAGGGTCTCACTGTGTAGCTCTGGCTGTTCGGGAACTTGCTGTGTAGACTAGGCTGGCCCCAAATCACAGAGATATAACTACTTCTGCTTTCTTAGTGCTGGGATTAAAAGTGTGCACCACCATGCCCAGCTATTTATTTATTTTTTGAGGCTATTGTGAGTGGCATTATTTGTCTGTTTTTTTTCTTTATATATTTGTTGTTGGTGAATAGGAATCTACTGATTTTTGTGTGATAAATTTGTATTCCACTGCTTTGCTCAAAGTGCTTATCAGCTGCAGAATTTTTCTGGTGCAGTCTTTAGGGTCTTTTATGTGCACAGTCATATGATCGGCAATTAAAAATACTTTGATTTCTTCTTTTCCTATTTGTATCCTCTTTGTTTCCTTCTAATGTTGCTCTAGCTAAGACTTTAAGGACTATATTGAACAGGAGTGGAGTAATCGGACATCTTATCTTGTTCCCAATTTTAGTGAAAATGCTTAAGTTTTTCCTTCTTTTAACATGATTTTGGGGTGTGGCTTATTGTACATTTGCCTTTATTATGTTGTGATATGTTGCCTGTATACTTTCTGTAGTTTCTATTGCTGATGAAATCTAGTTTTACTTCCACCATGGACAGATAGAATGAGAGATATTATTTCAATATTTTCCTATATTTATTGAATTATTGTTTTGGGTCCTAATATGCAGTCAATTTTAGAGAAAGTTACATGGGTTGTGGAAGAATTGTGTATTCTTTAGTGTTTGCGTGGAATGTTTTGTAGATGTCTGTTAGGTTCATTTGATTTATGATGTCACTTAACTCTTATTCTTTAGTTAGATTTTATGCAGATGATCTGTCTGGTGAGATTGGGGTATTAAAGTTACCCATTGTCACCGTGTTGGGATAAATCTGTTGTTTCAGATCTAATAGTATTTCTTTTATGATATTGTGTTGTACCTGTGTTTGGTGCACATGAGTTTAAAGTTTCATTGCCTTGGTGGATTTTTCCTTTAGTGAGTATGTAGTGGTGCTCCTTATCACTTCTGATTAGTCCGGGTCTCAGGTTTGTTTTGTCAGATATTAGTATACCTAAACCTGATTGTTTCTTGGTTTCATTTACTACAATCCTTTTTTCCATCTTCACTCTATGGTAATGTCTATTATTGTTTGTGAGGTGTGTTTTTTTTTCTCCTAATCCCATCTAGTAATCTGCTTCTCCTTATCAGGAAATTGAGACTAGAGATACTAAGGGTTGTTATCGGAATGATTTATAGTCATCCCTGCCATTTTTTATTGTTTTTGGTGTTTTTAGACCTCTTTTCTTCTGGAATTGTTTGCTTTTTCCCTGTAATGTCTTGGGCGTGTTTGTCCTTGTTTTCAGACTGATGCACTCTTTTTGGCAGTCTCCTTAGAGCTGGCTTTGTGGCAAAAAAAAATTCCTTTAATATTGTTTTTATCATGAACGCTTTTATTTATCTATTTTTTTATTAAAGGGTCTCACTATGTAGGCCTGGCTGGCCAGGGACTTGTTATGTAGACCAGGCTATCCTTGAAATCATAACAGTCTGCTGGCCTTCAGCCTCCCGAGTGCTGAAATTAAAGGTGTGTGTCGTGGTACCCAGCTCACCTGGAGGGTTTTTTTCCCTCTTCTATAATTTTAATGAATAATTTCGCTGCATGTATTAGTCTGGGTTGACAGTATGTGGGTCATTCTGAACTTGGAGTATAATCTTTCCACACCATTCTGGTTTGAGAGGGTTTTACAAGCATTATTCTGATGGGCTGTGGTTATAAGTGACTTGCGTTGTCACTTTTGCGGCTTTAAATACTCCTTTTATTCTGTGTTTTTAGTACTTCAATGTCATGAGGAGTTTCTTTCCTGGGCTTGCCTATTTGGAGTTTGATAGGCCTGGTTTTTACCTGGATGACCATCTTTTCCTCTGGGTCTGGGAAGTTTTCTTGTATGCGTCTGATGAAAATATTCTCAATGACTTTACTACAATATTCTTTCCCCCCATGTCCATAATTCAAAGATTAGGTCTTTTCATGGTGTCCCCAGATTCTCCCATATTTTTTTTCATGTATTTTTTTTTAAAAAAAAAATCATTGAATTTTACTGAGTGGTCCAATTCCTTGTCTTCTAGCTCTAACTCTTTTTCCAGCATGACCCGTTCCACGGGTGAGGCTTTCTACTGAGGTTTTTACATGGTGTATGCATGAGTTTTTCACTTCAGGCATCATTTGGGTGTGGGTTTTCTTCAGCAGTTCTATCTATTGACTTCTTTTTTCATGACTTGTTTCGACTTTCTTATTTCACTCATCTCTTTGTTTTCTTTCCTCTGTCTTTTGAGTTGTTTGAACATTTTTATAATCTTTCCTTGGGATCCATTGGAAGTTCTCTCAGTTTCTTTTGATTAGGTGCCATTATTTTATGGGATTACTAATTTCTGGAATACTCACATTGTCTCTGGTTTTTTTATGCTGTTTCTGTTTCTGCAACAGGACGTAAGCTAGTGGTGCTCGCTTTGGAGACCAGGCTGGCCTCGAACTCACAGAGATCCGCCTGGCTCTGCCTCCCGAGTGCTGGGATTAAAGGCGTGCGCCACCACCGCCCTCAGCTCTTCTTATGAGTGAGGGTCAAGTGGTGTCCTGTGTTAGCTTGGGCCTCCCGTCCAGATCTACAGCTTTAGCTGTGAGTTGTGGAGCTCTCCGAACAGCTGTGGGCTTTTGCCAGCATTAGATCCAGTTCCTACCCTGAGTCCAAAGCCTCTGCTGAAGGCACTGCCTGATGTGGAACTTCAATAGTCCTTACCCAAGCTCAGGATTGGTTCCTAACCTGGGTCTGCTGCTTGCGCTAAAGCTTCTGCAAGATATGGAACATCCCCTGTACTCTGAAATTAGAGTCAAATCTGGTCCTCATCCTGGGTCTGCGCTTCTGCTGAAGCCATTGTGGGACGTGAAACTTGCCACACTCCAACAGCTTTACCCAGTTCAGAACTGGTCCACACCCTGGGTCAATCAGGTGGTTTTTGTTTTTTGTTTTTAAACTGCTGAGCTATCTCTCTAGTCTCCGAAGGCACTTTGGAAACCATCAGTTTAAATCACTTACTTTAGACAAGGTTGTTGGTTTTAAAAATTTGTTTTCACTACTGTCCAGCCTAGAAATCTTCACTGTATATCTTTCTTGCTGATCTATTCATCTGTGGAGACGGATTCCGAGTCTTTCTACACTGCCCTATAGTGGAGAACATTTATCAGACACTTAAGGGCAGTGTTGTGTGTGAGGTGTAACTAGTGTTTTGGTAGGAAAGTGTAATGGTATGCGGGGGCTTATTTTTAGTAAGGGTAGATACAAGTGTTTTCCCTTAAAAAGATTACATTATTGACGGTGCTTCCTTGAGCAGGAAAGGCAGGTGTGCTGCTAGAACTCGGTGCTAACTTAGATTGTGCAGAAAAGAAGAAAGATTAGGGTTCATTCTGTGTCTGAGACCCTGGCTAAAAGGAATGGGATTAAGAGGAACAAGCTGCTATTGTACCCAAAGACTAAGTGTGGACTGCTCGCACAAGCCCATTAACTAGGCATACCTGTTAACTAGGTTTGGGATGTAGCATATGGTTAAGTCTGATGGACAAGTGGAAACCAGTGTCAGGAATCCTGGGGATGTGTGTAAACATTGGCTGCTTTTAGCAATAATGCTGGTCCTCCATAGTATATAACCTAGAGAGGCGCAGTCAGATCCCATCACAACTGCCAGTCTGACACAGAAAATCAACTCCATTTCTTATGTTTCAGGGAAAGGGAACTGAGCAGAAACAGTGCATTTTATTGTGTACTGGGAGCGCATGTTCTTGGCATGGTCATGAAATGTGTTTCTGTTAAATTTATATTTACAAATTAAATTTATACATCATAAATAATTTAAGATTGGTCTGTTTTTCACACTTTTTTTTCCCTTATTGGATATACACTTTTTTTTTCTTTTGTTACTAAGAAATTTGGAACTGTAAAATCCAAATCATCACTGAGGACAATAAATTACACCATAACTACGACATATCAGCTAGCTAAGGGAAGATAATTCAGAAGCTAAAAAAGTCTTTTGAGGGGTTGGGGATTTAGCTCAGTGGTAGAGTGCTTGCCTAGCAAGTGCAAGGCCCTGGGTTCGATTCTCAGCTCCGGGGGTTGGGGGGGGGGAGAAAAAAAATCTTTTGATTTATTCTCAAGAAAAACTTATTTAAGATGAGTCCAATGTATCTAAGGGATTAGAGCACAAATATATGGAAAATATACACTAAAATGGAAAACGTTAGGAGAAAACGTATGTGTCTGTACTATCAATAAACTTGGAAATATTTTCGTTTTGCAAGTTGCACATTTTATTAAAAATTTATTTTGTGCCCAGTAGAAAAGCAAATTTTGAGTCTATTTACAAGCACTATGTATTTACATATATTATATACAATTAATGCACTTAAAGAAAATGGGCAGAGAAACAATATATTTGGAAGAATATGTCACTGTACATGGTTTATTATCACGTTCTTTTATGTCACTGTACCTTTACTGTAGTAATAAATACAATTCTATATGTACACATCTTATAAAACATCTCATAAATGTATTATTTTTTTAAAAAAAAAATTCCACATTAAAACATCTGATCAAAATAAAACATGCTTATATAAAAATAAATCTACCCAACAGCCTTTTTGTTTGGGTGCCATGAAGCTAATGTAGGATCATGGAAGTTACGAATAAACCCTTTCACTTTTCAAATTTTAATAATTTGGATGAAAACACTAACACCCGTGTTAATACGGAGTAAGCAGAGAAGTCATGTTCTTTATATCAGGTGGTTGATCCAAAAGGGACACAGCTAAAACCAAGCTAAACAGAAAGACTGATACTTTTGCACACTTCTGTTGAGTCCAAAGTGTCACGAGGCATGTTGCTGGAGCCAATAGAGATAGGTGTGTGAGGTTACTCAGTGGATGTATGTCCTGCCTACCTTAGAGCATCTTACAATGCACAACCATTTGAGGCAATGACAAAACATCTCCCCCAAAGCATGCTCCCACTCAGAAACAAATAGAAATCCCACACTTGCTTACTAGGTAGGCTCACTGCTGGCAATGGACTTTCTGAGCTTTGGACACCAGGAACTTAAAAATGAATCAGGTAAGTCAAATTTTACCTGTACATGATCGCTTTAGGAACAAGTTAATTTTCCCTTCAAAAAATGTGTAGCCAGTTCTAGTTCACCAAGGGAGGAAGCACTGAGTGCTTATTTATAAAACCCAGTATCTTAAATTTATGTATGAATGAGTTAAAAAATGTCTCAAATTATTCATCCAAGAAACTAGCATCATGGAAAGACCCTTTCTGACAAAAGGACATAAATGTCTCCACATGGCCATTAAAATGAAATCCTGTGGGCAATGTAGCCCATTTTAAAAAATTCTTATATCGCCTTATAATATTAACCCTCTTCTGAGGAATTTGTCAATTTAAATATACTCATGGTGTCCTTCAATGAATCCTTCACTACCAGTGATTATGCTGGTGAGTTTGAAGATCACACAATTAAAACTAGAGAGTTTATTTTTTGAAGAGCATTTCATCTGCTTTTCAGATCTAGGCTCATCTAAGTAACGTGATGGACAGCTGAACAAGTTTATACAAGCAGTGTTTAGACTTATACATCGCTCTCAAGTATCAGTAAGGCATTCGCTTTCCCATACTAACTTATAGATGTTTACTTGTATTGTAAGCCAGGTTTCAGCTCAGCTCTTCTTAGCTACTGCTCTGATACAAATCTTCTTGCAGGTTTCCAATTTTTGAAAACGTTGCCCTCACAGATTACCTAGAGGCATGGGACAAAGGCTACTGAAGAAAGGTGACAGCTTTCTGTCATTGGATAAGCTGGTGATGACCCAGAATTGGAAGGCAAGTCATAGGCTATGCTGGCATGCGTAAAGGCTACCAAGGCTTGGGTTGAGTCGCAGGATCGTTTTTCAACATCATCAGAGTTAATGGACAGCAGACTTGGGTGCTTTGATCTCGTCCAGAAATGGGTTTGCTTTCCTAGGCTGCCCATATCCTCCTTAAAATGGGGGTTGAAGACGATATAGAGAAGGGGATTGAGACATGCAGGCAGTGGGACAATCACTAGGAGTATGAACTTAATTACTTCAGGACTGATAAACGTGAGGTTTAGCAAAGAGGAGAAGGATAGGAAAGCCACGGGGCAGTAAAGGATACAGTTGGTGAAGAGCAACAAGGCAATGTGTTTCACCATAGAACAGTCCCAAAGATTCTCCAGGTCCCCTTTGTCCAAATTGCAGTAGAGCTTGGTGTACGCAATGGTCATTATGAGGAAACAGAGGGAGTTGAGCAAGACGAGAGCCACCATGTAGCCCGTGGTGCTGGGCTCCCCAAAGGGCAAGGGCAGGCAGAGTGGGGAGGCATTATACTCACTGCCTCCCAGCAAGGGGACAGTGGCAATGGTCAGGGCTAACAGGACACACAGCAGAACGATCACCTTCAGGCTAGAAAGGGGAGTTTTCGTTTCAAACTTTGAAGAGCATTTGACGGAAAAACCACGTTCCAGGGCTGCCAGAGTGAGCAGGAAAACAGACGATTCTGAAGCAAACATGGACAGGAAACCAACAATTTGGCAACCGATTCCATCTTCCCACCACGCACCGTGTTGCGCAAAACTACCAAACGTGAATGTGTCCACAATGGCCAGCACAGCACTGGAGACCCCCATGATCATGTTCACCACCGCAATGACCCCAATTAGGAGTTTTATGGAGGAGATGCACAGAGTGGTTCTGAACACGGTTGACACCACCAAGGCATTACAGGAAAGCGCCAGCACTGCTATGATCCACACTCCGATTCTGATCGGCCAGCTACCGAATAGGTGGTCACAGGGCTTGAAGGGACCTGAGTGTAGAAGGAAGAGAGAGAGAGTCCGTATCAGATTGGGGCGACAGATATAGCAAACTTGCCAAGAAACGGACGTCAGTAACAGCCACTGTAACCACAGCGCCCACATGGCTTGCTCCTGCTTCTCAGACTAGTGCGAGGACCACCTTGAAGTTCCCACAGCACTGACCCACGGAGGCCCCAGGTTCTTGTGCTCCCAGAGGATACATAGAAAACTAAAAATAGGAGACCTCAGTCCCAAGACATAGCAGCATGGCCAATGTGAAAGACCAGATCACCTGGATTTCTCACTGAGACCTTGAGAATAGTTTCCATGGTTCCACAGTTCAAGAAAGGGATTCCTAGGGAAATAGTTCATATGAGACATAGTATGGGTGACAGGAGTGTGCATTTTATGGAAATCTTAGAGAGCAAGGAACACTTATTTATTGGAAATAAAATATTATTCATTGCCTTTCTCCCACTAAACTACCTACCTTTTTTTTTTAAAGGAATAGGACAATTTAATGAATTCAATGTTTTCAAAACTCATAGGTATACTATTTGTTTTCACATTTTTTTTTTAAAGACAGGGTTTTTCTACATAGTTCTGGCTGTTCTGGAACTATGTAGACCAGGCTGGCCTTGAGCTCAATGAGACCCACCTGCCTTTGCCTTCCAAGTGTAGGTAAGGACTAATACTAATACTAATACTAATACGACCATACTCGGCAAGGCACGGTCTTGAGCGTGTTAAACAAACACTTCATTGTTGGGTTAAATTCCCAGACCCTAAATGGTTATTTATAGAGAAGATCTAAATTATTAAAAATTTGTTGATTATATAAAGCAAGCCTATGGGGTATTATTCCATGCTAAATAGCAATAGTGCCTTCAAAATCACATATGCCTTTGAGCATATGCCAACTCTTTAGTTTTATTAACCTCAATCAACAGTTCTCCACAAAAGTTCTACTTGTGAATGGAAAATGACCCTAGCGAATGAAGCTTGTTCGTATTTTGTAAGTTCCGGTTGTCAGGCACAGGGACGAGCCATGAGGTGGCAGAGATTTTTGCTCCTGGAAGGCAGCCACAGTGGTCTACAGCCTCAGCGTCCAAGTGGTCCTTGGATACCAACGCAGTTCTGATGTCTCTCTCACCTGGAGAAGGCGAACACTGCACAGAATGAAGGGCTTTCAGGTCTTCCTCGAAGTCCAGCAGGAAATCTTCAAGATCTCGCTCATCTGCAGGGATGAGAAACCGTGAAGTGGTTAGTTCTCTCATGAGGAGAGGCTCGGGCTGCCCGCAAGACAGGAATTGTCGCAGAGAGAAATGAAGGCAAGGTCCTTAGAAAGTCCTTTGTTGATGTTCTAGACAGTCTACTCTGGCAGTGTTCCAGCAGAACTGAGGAGGAAAGGTGCTGTACTCAGGGTTAGCATCCAAGTCCTCAGATTCCGCTGTTCCCTGGAGCTTGTGATGGTCCTAAATTGCAGACCTAAATCCACGCTAGGAACCACAGTTTATCCAGTTGTCTAAGGACTGGGGATGCTGCTTAGTGGTAGAATCTTTGCTTAGCATGCTCAAGGGCCTAGGTTTGATCTCTAACACCTCTCAGAAACTTCCTTTAAGATGAGAGAGAGGAGAGAAGATAACAATTTTCTAACACTATAATAGCTTCGGTACAAATGTTCTAGGCTGCCTCCTCTGACCACAAGATGGGAAATCAGTTTTGATGTTCCTTGAGGGAATTCCGTATAATAAAAAAGTAATAACAAGGTGCTTGGTTTAGGAAACTGTCTTTTAAAAAAAAATGAATTTTGTGATTTAACACATTTTTCCCAAAGATGCACGTTTTCTTGATTTTGTGTGAGACTTGGGCATCAGCATTTGTGTGTGCCTGTGTGTGTGTGTGTGTGTGTGTAAAAATGAGCATGTGGTCACTCAAAGGAACACATGTGGATGTCATAGGGAGGTGTTGGGATACTCAACACCTTCCCTTCATTATCTTCTGAGACAGCGTCTCTCACTGAACCCGGAGCTCACCAGTTCAGCTGGGCAGGCTGATCATTCAGCTCCAGCTTTTTCCCGTGCCTCACAGCACTAAGATTACAGGTGTGAGCTGCCACATCTCGCTTTATCTATCTATCTATCTCTATCTATCTATCTATCTATCTATCTATCTATCTATCTATCTATCTATCTATCTATTTATTCCAGACCTGAGGACTGAACCCAGGGCCTTGTGCTTGCTAGGCAAGCGCTCTACCGCTGAGCTAAATCCCCAACCCGGTTTAAAAATCCCGCTTTTTAAAAATGTGGGTGCTGGAGCATCTGAACTCAGAACCTCATGTTTGTGCACCAAACCCTTCACTCACTCAGTCACCTCCCCAGCTCCAGCGTTGGTATTTTTTTTTCAAACCCTTTGGTGTTATTCTAATATACAGCTCATGGTTGAGAATCACTGATCTTGAAAATAAATTTCATGAAGGACATTAGTGCTATTATGTAGTCCCAGGAGCTGATGTAGTGTCTGGACCATAATGGGCTCTATAGTTTTAAATTTTTAAGGTTTAATGAATAAACATAGAAGAGATTAGAGTTGGTGGGGCAGGGACAGCCAAAACTAAACGAAGGAGAAGAGCAAGATACATGCTGTGTGACCAAAACCACAAACAAACAGGCTATTAGCTCCTTCAACTGACAGGCGAGTGGCTAAGTGAAGAAAACGTGCCGACAGGTTGAATTGCACCTTGGAATCAACAAATCACCAAGGCCCTAAGACTGAGAAGCTATTCTGTTAGGCCTTGTGCAGACTGGCAAGGTTGGCAGGGAAGGGAGGGGGTGCCGCCCGAGGCGCCTCTTCATCCCCACAGGTGTGGTGGAGAGACATTGCTTTCTGTTTAAGTAACGTCTTACTGCAAGGAAAGCCAAGGGCTGTACAGACATGATCTCATTCCACCTTCCTGACAGATACCCCTGTGGGGGACTAGAGGAACATGATACAAAATCCGTCGGTTGAGAAACTGAATTCTTAGGCCCTTCTGCTCAAATATGGAGGAATTAAAAATGTCTGTCCGCTCACCTCACCCCCTACTTCCTCCAGGCCAGGAAAACAAGCATGTATTTTTCTCTTCCAGTGAAAGAAGGGAAGAAGGATATTTGAAGGAAAAAAAAAGACTAGGATCCTCTAAAAAAGTATGGAAATGTTGATATAGTAATCACCTCTGAGAACTGTGTATGCTAAGGAGGATCTAATTATAAATAAAAATAGAACAGATGGCGATATGTCTTTTTGAGTCTTTACAATGTAATACTGATTCTCCACTTGCTGGGTGATTACAGAGGGACTCCTGAACTTTTCATGGTCTGTTAGTAAATTTTCAAGATCTTTCTGGCAACAATTTCCTCACCATGACAGCAGTTCTTACCTTGAACTTGAAATAGCCCAGCATCTTTCTTATGAAGGTCGTCCACACTGCTGTTACCACCTTTATTCCATGGATTGGAAATCTTATAGACATTCTCACACACTCCAAATGCACAACACTGGTAAGCATAGGGCATTTCAATAATCCTTTAAAGAAAAAAACATACACTTAAAAAAGATGGATCATGAAATATAATGTCTGCTTTTGGAGTTTAGGCTAAATGGATAATCCAAAATAGATGCTATTTGAATAAAGGCACGCATTCTAGTGATACTGGTAACTACAGTTATTAAAATTTAACATCATCAGATATTTATCATTGTGGAAGCTGAGTGATGTGATTTAAATGATGGAAATTTTCCATAATAAAATGGTTTAAAAAATGAATGGTAGGAAAATTATGACAACATTATGTTAGGTAACTAAAGTATGCCATAAATTTCTATGCATATGTGGATTCTAATAACTTAGATGATGTGAAACAAAGCCTAGAAATAAACAACAAATAAAAATGTTGTTTAAGGTGGCATTTTGAAATATACTTTTTCCTTTTCTGTACTATCTTTTGGGACTTTATTACTTTTTGGGTTTTAAAAACATGCAGACAGTATTGTGGTTCAAGACATATATATGTACACACAAAATCTTTAAAACACTCCCTTATTAATAATAAGCACAGTAAGTTTTTGAACAGTACTGCTTTCTCAAACAGGCATTAATTTAGTATATTTTATTACAGCACACACACGCTAGATGAATTAAAAATTGTAAACAGGAGTGCAGTAATGTTACAATGTTATTTAATTACACGGCCCAGTATATATCCCATGGATCAATGCTTCTTAAACTCTTTCCATGAACTCTGTGATTCCAGGAAGCATCTTTGAGAGGGAAAGGAAGTGTGGTCAGGAAGACAGTCTCCCACTTCAGGCTTATCCTAACAGTGCTCCAGGGGTGGGGACTCGGGGCATGAAATGCAATTCAAAAGGGTCTCATGACCTCATAAATTTAGAAATCACTGTAACATGTCTATTTTTTCCGCATGACCACAAATGTATCTTATTAGTTTCAACGACAAACTCACTTGAGCTCTGGGAAGTTTGCAGATGGTATCAGGCTCTGTAAGGCACGATTTCCTGTTAATTTTAAGTGAGTCAAACCATGTAACCCAGTTACAGGGAAAGACGACAGGAGGTTGGATGATAGGTCCCTGCAAAACATCAAACAATTGGCTTTTAGTAGTCTACATTAGCATGAAATGTTTATGTTTACAAACGCAGCCTAAAGATGCTTCGACTGACTGCTCAGTAAAAACCTCCAAGCAGAGTTCTTACTCTGAATGGTAAAACTAACCACTTTGGTTTCAGTTTCTGATAGCTTTTTTTATTTATAATCAGAACTGGAAGGGGGGGGCATGCTTTAAATGCATTAAAAATTGTTCTACATTTTGCCAGGTGGTGGTGGTGCACACGTTTAATTCCAGTACTTGTGAGGCAGAGGCAGGTGGATCTCTGTAAGTCTGAGGTCAGCCTGGTCTACAGAGTGAGTTCTAAGACAGCCAGGGCTACATAGAGACCAATCTTGAAAAACAAACAAACAAACAAAAAAAGGTTGTTCTGTATTTAGTCTCATTTTGCCAAGTGGGGAATATACATTTATTTGAAAAGTGATTGGAATGACCAGTGAAAAGTTTCACGGTCTATTTCCTTCCTCCACTCCCCCTTCTGTCAGAGAAGGAAGAAGAGGATAGAATAAATGAATTGTCAACTTATTCCATTCTGCCTGATTTCTCAGCAAAACTAGACAATTTCATTCGAATAAGCAGCCCCCACTCCCCCCCACTCCCCCACCCCCCCCCACCCCCCCATCACCCAGACCTTCAGTCATCCACTTAAGGGCCCCTATGGCTCTCGAGAAGCTTGGTGTCTTCCCTGGCCAGGGCATAGCTCTAGGCATGGAGAACACAGAACACTGGCTGTGTGTTGGGAATGACTTCTAATTATTGAAAGACATTCCATAAACAAGAGATGAAATACTCACAGCTTAATTAGAGATGGCAATGTAGAAAATGCACTGGGGTGAATCATGGCAATTTTATTCCAAGCTAAGTTCCTGTTTTTTTAAAAAAGCAAACAAGAAGATTATGTCAGAAAGAACACACGGCTTTTTATCATATGTATTCAGTCTCTACCCACATTTAATTTCCATTCAAATGGGGAATAGCCAGCTCATCAAAGTGTCCTTCAGATAAAGATATTGTGACATAAAATGACAAAAGATAGAACTTTAAATCAGTCCTGTTTGAAGTAATAAGGTAGATATTTTAGTTTTATTCTCTTTTTACTAATAAGGTAGACTTTATCATGGATGCAAATTTTTATTCCAGTTTTTCTAAAATGAATGGAGATAGGACGAGGCAAACATCAGAATCTCTTTCTCTGACAAGAGAGCACATTTTAAATCATGAAATGATCCTGGGCACACGGCGAAACTCAACCAACAATGTGTGCCTGTCACCCATCTACGGCAAGTCCTGAAATAGACAGAGGTGTTTTCAAGACAATTCTCAGTAAAAGATGCGGACAAGTGAATACCTGACTGGGATCTAAGTAAAATGGGAGAAAACATATGTTAGAAATAAAATCCTTCAAAGCGAGGAAAAATATTTCATGGAGAAATGAAATCTACTGCCATATATATACTACAAAGTGAAGGACATTTCGAAGGAATAAAATCTCTAGCAAAAACTTCTCTGGGTAATTCATCAGAGACGGGAACTGATGACTTATCAGAGACAAGTTCATTTTTAAACATGAACTATGAATTTTAGGCTCCACCCCCAACCCCACCACCACCACCACCACTTCCTCTCTCCCTTCCTTGGCGCTGGGGATCAAAGCGAGACCTTGCAAACACTAGCAAAAGCTCCTCTACTGAGACTTAATTTTTTTAAATGTCCAAGACATTAAGGTAAGTAAGAATGGGGCATTTGAGAAAATTGGAAGTGATCAGTGTCGGTGTTTCTCAGATTCAGATAAGGGTCTGCCACTGGGCCCCCGAGTTACCTCCAGTGAATTGAATTCACAGAATAGTTGTGTTCTCATTTGAAAGATTTTTAAAGGGAATCTTCCTCTTTTCACAGGAATGTGGAGGCCAGAGTACTATCTCAGGTACCTTTCCACAAAGGCCGTCGACCATGTTTTTTGAACCGGGGTCTCTCACTGACCTCGAGCTTATTTCATTGGGCTGCACTGGCTGGGCAGCGAGCCCCAGAGCTCCGCCCATCCCTGTCCTCCACCCCAGGATAGTAAGTGTGGGATTGCACCAGGCTTTTCCTGCGGGTCTAGGAATTGAACTTCCGTCCTCACGCTTGCGTGGCAAACACTTTACAGACTGAAATACTTACAACATTTTAAATCATAAAACAAAATGAAATATTTACATATCGATTGCCGGAGAAACAGAAGCAGTTTCTAGTACAGTTTTCCTGAAATCGTAATAGGTTTGCTAAAACAGATTCCCAGGCTTGCTCTTCAGATAGAGGAGGGCACAGAGTTAACATATTTCACGATCAAACCCAGGTGGTCTTTAAATGTTTACACACAGTCACAGCCACAGCCACAGCCACAGCACCCTCCCCCACAAGACCAAACCAAAACCAAAACACGCCCCCCCCCATATGCACACCTGTAGCAGGAATCTTAGAGAGTCTTATTAATAAAAACAAACCTGGAGCCAGGTATTGGGGTGAATGCTGGAAGATCAGAGAAGCAGAACAAGCCACAGCCACCTCACCTTGCCAATTCCTCAGCTGATCCTGTTTCCTCAGACTGGAGGCCTCTGAGTCCTCATCCAGAATGAATCTCAGCTGAACTGCTGCTGGAAAGCCTGAAAGCTTAACCAGCCAAATGCTGCTAGTTTCTGGTCTTCACGCCTTATATACCTTTCTGCTATCTGCCATCACTCCCTGGGATTAAAGGCTCACTTCCTGGGATTAAAGGCGTGTGTCACCATGCCTGGCTGTTTCCAATGTGGCCTTGAACTCACAGAGATCCAGAGGGATTTCTGCCTCTGGAATGCTAGGATTAAAGGCGTGAGTGCCACCATCTTCTAGCCTAAGTATCTAGTGGCTTTTCTGTTCTCTGACCCCAGATAAGTTTATTAGGGTGCACAGTATGTTGGGGAGCACAATACCACCACACACACCAAACAGGCAGAGGGACTGTGTGTGTTCATTCCATTTGAGTTTAAACTCTCAGGCTGCAGACAGGACTATTATGCAGACTTCTGAGCAGTCAGTCTCCTTTCTTTGGCAACAAGAGTGCATTTTAGAGGATTCGCTGAACGCATAGTCACCAATTTACTACTCCTGTTTTGAACCTTTTAAAACTTACATTTTGAGAGGGTCTTACTGTGTAGCCCTGGCTAGTCTGGAACCTGTGGTGCACACCAGACTAGTCTCAAACTCACAGAGATCTACTTGCCTCTGCCTTACACGTACTTTGTTTAAAGATGTACACACTATGCCTGGGTACAAATTTACTACTTCTAATTTTTTTTTCCTGGAAATTATGAGAAGCAAAATATATTTTTTTTTTAAACAGGAAAAAATAAAGTACAGCGGCACAATGGTAAAAGCACATAGTGGAATAAAAATCCTGGAGGTCCAACAGAGAGAAGTAGTCAGTGCTGTGGGGGTGTGGGAGGTGGTACTCACAGAGATCGGAGGTTAAATAACTGCTGGAACGTGCCACCTTTAACTTCACAGATGTTGTTATGCCGCAGGTCGCTGAAAAAGAAAGCGTTCCAAAGACCGACATCAGAGTTAATGTTTCCAACAGACTTCAGAGAACTTTTTACACTAGGATTGCATGCTCTTAATCAAAGGGGCAGAAGAAGTGTGAGTATCTCATAGAAAGTGTGAGTATCTCATAGGAAGTGTGAGTATCTCATCAGAAGTGTGACTATCTCATCAGAAGTGTGAGTATCTCATAGGAAGTGTGACTATCTCATAGGAAGTATGAGTATCTCATAGGAAGTGTGACTATCTCATAGGAAGTGTGACTATCTCATCAGAAGTGTGAGTATCTCATAGAAAGTGTGAGTATCTCATAGGAAGTGTGAGTATCTCATAGGAAGTGTGAGTATCTCATAGGAGGTGTGAGTATCTCATAGGAAGTGTGACTATCTCATAGGAGGTGTGACTATCTCATAGGAAGTATAACTATGTCATAGGAAATGTGACCATATCATAGGAAGTGTGACTATCATCTCTCAATCAGAAAATTATTTTTTTGTCTAGTAAATAACACTGCAATTTTTTTTTTTACATTCAAATAAGTATTGACTCTCAGTCAAGGAAGCTGCTTCCCTCAAGAGGGTATAAAATAATCCACGTACACTGTCATCATTCAGTGGGAAGAATGATGGCTTAGCATGCATGAAGCCTGGCTCTGTCCCCAGTACTGCATAAACCAAGTGTGATAGTCTGTGCCTGTAAGTCTAGACCGTAGGAAGTGGAAAAAGGAAGGACACAAGTTCAAGGTCATCCTTGGCTCTGAGGCCAGCCTGGGACACATGTGACCCTTTCTCAAAAGAGAAGATTGCATCTATAAACATGCTTGCCATACAAAGCCTGTTGACTTGCATTTGATTCCTCCTAACCCCTGGAATACAAGGAAAAGTGGAAGAAGAGAACTCACTTCACAAAGTTGTCTTTGGATCTCTACATGCATGGTCTTGTACATGTACACCTGTCCTCTCTCCCCTTGCCTCCATCACACACACACACACACACACACACACACACACACACACACACACACCAAACAAAACAAAACCCCAAACCAACAATACAAAGAAACACTTGAGGACACGTTTCTTTCTTTCCCTGGGCCCTTATTATATTCATTAAAGGTCTTCAGAAGTGTCAAGTTTATTTTTAATTATGTATCTGTGTATGGGTATGTGCATGTGTATGCTGCTGACGCCTCAAGGTGGAGTTACAGGTGGTTGAGAGCTGCCCACTGTGGGTGCTGGAGGCCAACTCTTCTCCTCTGAAAGAGTACTAGGTGCTCTTAACCACAGAGCCATCTCTCCATCCCCTCAAATCTTTACATTTTAGGAGATGAATTCAGGTTTTCTTCCTTCATGACCCAAAGGCTGTGAGAGAAAAACTAAGTATGAAATGAAAGGTGGTTAATAAATGGAAGTGTGGCTACAAAGCAAGGTGGCTAATGCTTTGAGGAGGAAGTAGTTTTAAGAGGAACTCCAAAGTGCATAAGAAGTGTCCATGGCACCTCACCTGACAAACGTGTGTCATCTCCCGTGGAGATGGCTTTCATGAAACAAACCTAAGTGCTGCCATACTCAAAAGTAGCACCACCCACCAGAAGTGTGAGTTTTGTTGTATTTGAGAAAGCAGAGCACTGAGCCCATGCGGCACACACCTGTAATCCCAGCACTAGGGAGGCAGAGATAAGAAGGCCCGGGAGGAGATCAAGGCCAGCCTGTGCTACATGAGACCTTGTCTGCATGAAAAAGGAAAAGTTTCTCAAGCTCAGACTCAACCAGTTTCCTAATACATTGAGTTGGGACAAACAAAGGAGAAAAGTGCATCTGTGCACTGACTACATTATTAATATCACAGTACATGGATGAGACAAGCACTATTTCCCAACTTTCTAGGCATCCTCCACTGTCACATCTGGTGTGTGTAAGAAGGACCAATGCCACTGTGTTGCTGGTGAGCCACAGGGTAGAGTAACCAATGACCCTGAAAAGTGGGAGTTTGGGCTTCTGACCTTTTTGTTGAATGACTTAGAGACACACTAAGAAGAAACAATATGATGTTTCAAAGACGTACATTTTCTGAAGTTTTTGGCAGCCTGACAAACTGGGTAAATCTTCGAGCAGGTTGTAAGACAAATCTCTGAAAAGCAAAAGGTGAGAGAGAGAAAAATATGCTACACATTAATCTTAAGGAAACACATCCTCCTTTCCTTTTCCCTTAAGATGATATGCCCCTCCAAGGCAAACTCTGGACAATTCCACAGCCCTGACAAGCAGCAGGTAGACACGGGCATTATTGGATTAGGCAATAGGTTCAAACATTTACTGAAATGTAACTATTATACTTCTTTAATTGATTTAAATAATTTACTTAATGAATTTATTTATTTTGTTAGTGACAATCTGCAGTATTCTAGCTCTTATCTTACTGAAATGAGGACAGATTAAATTAAATCACTGTGCCCCTGTCTCTGGAAGCTGCTATTTCTCTACAGCTAACACAAGTCATTGCTGGTTCTGTCCTAATCAACTTAAAAACCAAACCAAACCATTTAAAACATAGCACTAACTTTGAAATCAGTCACCATGAGGGGGGAAAATCAAAGAGAGATTTCAGCCAAAACTCAACAAATTACAGAATAACAAAACCATCTGGACATATTTATACTATAATACAACTAATCTAAAACAAGCCACGGTAATTTGCAGAAAGTTAAAAAAAAGAAAGAAAACTGGTAGATAGAGTAACGGAGGTAAAAAAAAAATCTTGTCTCATGTTTTAAAAGTTATCAACTAATCAGCTAACCATTTTCATGCTTGATTCTAATTCTTAAAACCACCAAAAACAACTGGGAAAAACCCAGTAGTATTTCTCTAAGAGGCTTTTCAATTATCCTATCCTTATAATTGATCAATTTATCCTACATTTATTGAATGAATGGGTTTTATATAGGAAGAATTCAATTATTGCTTATAAATAATTCACATGAAGCTATCTGTGAGTACAAATACTAGAGGTTTGAAAGATTACTCCCTTCCCCCTAAACAAACAAAAAAATAAACTCACTAAAGTGAACAAATGAAAAACCTGTATATCTATGCAAAATATACATGTTTAACAATATACCATGTAGTTTTGAAAAGTAGTGACTGTATGAAAATGGACACATATATTATCAAAGATGATAATGATTTGATTCATTCATTTCTTCAGGCTGCTCAGGGAGCCTGATATTTCTTACGTTTATATTGTGCAGCCCAGGCAGGTGTTGAACTTGGGATCTTCATTTCCTCAGCCTCCACAGTAACTGGGATTACAGGCTGAAACACCAGCCCCCCCCCCCCCCACCCCGGCTTCTCATTCTCACATATATCTTAGTAGGGAGTATACAAAAACTCCTACACAGGACATAGTATTGCATTTCGTCCACCTCTTACATAATGATTTCAGGGTTGATGTGCACCAAGCATTTCATGTTTAGAGGCACCGCATTTGTAGTTTTACTTGATTTAAATTCTGTGATCACTGATAGACAGTGACACTGTGGGTGTCCTCATACAGAAAGGAATAATGTCCACAAGACCATCAGTTAGTAAGTGGAGAACACACATTTAGCCTAAATAGTGGACTAGATGATTTCTATGAAGGTAAAGCAAGATAATAAACACTCACACTGAAATCTCATATGTTAATGGGGGAAAAAAAAAACAACACATGATGGTAGCTCTCACACCAATGCTTCTAAAAGTCCCTCTAGTAGAGATCAAGGTCCTGGGTTCTGGTATCAAAATATATGAGTTTCTCTTGGTTCATATGGTAGCCTGAGCACTGATTGATTTTTTTTTCTTTCTGTTTTTCTTCTTAGAAGATACCTGCCTTGTCTATCTTTCAGGAATGCCATGAGGAACAAATGAATATTGTGGGCGGAGCGTTGAAAACGGCAAGGTAATATCATTAATGTATTTGTGTATCTACACACATTCAAGTTCCAACAAGAAGGAACAGGATCTTTTCTGCTTGTTTACTTGCTTGAGACAGACTTATTACGCAGCCTAGATTGCTCTGGAGTTTCTCTGTGGCCCAAACTGGCCCCCAACTTGTGGTCCTTTTCCATGTCTTTCCTTAATGCTGAGACTATAGACATGGGCTGCCATGGCTGGCTTAAAATATAATGTCTTGGAGCTGGAAAGATGGCTCAGTAAAGTGATTGTGACACACAGGTAAGGCAGGAGAATTCCTGGGGTTTGCTAGCCAATAATTCTTGTTTAGTGGGGAAGACTTTGTCTCAAAAAACTAAGATGGAGGGGTTGGCAAGATGTCTCAGTAGGGAAAGGTGGTTGCCCCTGAATGCACATTAGAGAGAACTGGCTGTCACAAGTTGTCCTTTAATCTTTATATACACATACTCAGTGGTACACACGCATGCCTGCTGTGGAATGTTGTTCTGTATGCTGTGAATGTGTGCTGCTCTGATTGGTCGATGAATGAAATGCTGATTGGCCAGTAGCTGGGCAGAAAGTATAGGCGGGGTGAGCAGACAAGGAGAATTCTGGGAAGAGGAGTCAGAGTCAGGAGTCGCCAGCCAGACACAGAGGAAGCAAGATGACAAGGCAGAACCGAGAAAAGGTACCAAGCCACATGGCTAAACATAGATAAGAATTATGGGTTAATTTAAGTGTAAGAGCTAGTCAGTAATAAGCCTGAGCAAATGACCATACAGTTTGTAAATAGTATAAGCCTCTGTGTGTTTACTTAGGTCTGAGCGGCTGCAGGACTGGTGGGTGAGAGAGATTTGTCCTGACTGTGGGCCAGGCAGGACACAGGAAAACTTCAGTTACACATGCCTACACAAATGCATAAATATAAAAAAATTTAAAAACCATAAGATGGAGAATGGTTGAGAGAAACACCTGGTGTTGACCTCTGGAATCTATATACATGTGCACACATGTGCACATGCAAACACCACACACCCCAAAGAAGCAATATTTTGCAGAAAGAGTAATGGCACATGAAAAGGATGGAAATGTTAACACTGACGGAGCACCTACCATGTCCTAAACTCTGCTTTAAGGGTTTGACATGTAGTCATTTAATCCTTAGGGTTACCATCTGAAGGAAGTGGTTCTTTCATTTTAAAGACTGGGAAACTGAACCCCCCAGAAGGGAAAAGAACTTGCTAAAGATAATGTGCTGCTTTCTAGGGAACTTGTAGTTAAACCAGGAAACGACGCTCTGGAGCCTTTGCTCCTAACTGGTTTCCCAAGTGGCCTTCGTTCACCTATGTGGTTCAGGACCTGACTGTTGACTGTCAGTTCCCTATGCAGCTTAGAAGAGAAGGACACGATTTAAACCTCAACTCCCTCCTTACCAGCTACAGTATGTGAAATCCCTCTTATGGCATTGATCCATGTCAGTCATGGAAATCAGTAAGCAGCAGACAATAGATGGTTTTGGGTACCCTCTACTAGTTTCATTAAGAAATGGAAGTAGAGGACTGGAGAAATGATTCAGTGGTTAAGAGTACCTGTTGCTCTTGGTGAGGACCAATACCCGAGGTTGTCATTTGACCCCAATATGTGTGCTGGGACATTAGTCTAACAACACTTATTCATGTGAACATGCACACGCAAGATAGAAGTAAACAAAAAAATTGTGATGCTTTTTTGCAGTGAGACTTTAATAAATATATCCCTGAGTCTCAATTCCTTTGTCTGTAGCTACACTTCATAGGGAAATGGAGGCTATAAGGACAAAGCTTGCTTTATATGCCTTCCTTCAGACATGTGTGAGTGACAAAAACTCCTGGGTGCTTCTACTGCACACCATGTCACTGAACATCTGCAGTGACAGGGTAGCCTGGGGACAATGAGGAAGGGCAGAGTCATGCTGCAGGCAATCCCATGCTACATAGCACCTGCATTATGCTGGTTCTGCTGCTAAGAGGAGCCTATGCTAAGATGACAGGTGGCTGACCGTGATAGGTGTCTATTCCACAAAAAAGAACCATTTTATGAGAGAGTGAGGGTCCTTTTAATAACAGTCCCAACAATGCTTGAGAGAACTAGAGGGCTGGGTGGCGTGAACAGAAAAACCAAAGCAGAATGTCAAAACGAGGCTATTCAAATCCCCATAATCTACTTCTTATGAAACCTGGGAAAGGCAGGGACAAAAATGAGATTTGAGTCAATAGAAATAACATTCAAGATGATTGACTATCAGATGAAACATTAGAACCCACTATCCATAACTGCACCAAAGAATGTTTAGTCTCCCTATTGAGGTTGTTGTCTGTTTGATAATTTTATTTTTGACATTAATGTTAGGCTGTTGATCCATTATGCTATTTTGTTCCATTCTGAAAAACCTTTAGAAGAGGAAATGCTGTTTCTCTGGCTTGTTCACATTCATTTTCTGAAGGGAAATGCATGCCAACTACAACTCTTACGGGCAGCTGTTTGTACTTGAAAACAAAGATATGCTATCATGGCTACCAGGGTTATGGCTGGGAGCCTGGTCCAAAGGAGGCAAAAGAGGGACTATGACCTTCTGGAGACCTGCAAGGAAAGAACTTTCTCCCATTTCCAATGACTGTTGAGATACTGTCTGCCATTTTGCCCCTAAATGGAAGTTGTCTGTTTATACAACATTATTGCCTTACTGATACGTACAGCACTTGGAGATTAGGTAACTGATCACAGACGGTTTGGGGAAGAGATGAGATCTTTGCTCCAGTTAAAGTCCTGTTAAAACACAAGCCAGACATAATTCTTTCATTCCCACATCATACAGTGACATGTTTTGATTCACGGATGTTGAAGTTGATCAGTCCCAAAGTGAATGCATGTTGTGGGCGAAGCTAAGGGTCTACTCAAATACTCACAGACTTTCCAGGTTGCCAGTTCCAGTTAAATCAGGAAATTCAGTAATTTGTGAGGCACCATTCAAAGTCCTAGGAGAAATATGTGAGTGTTATATGGAGTAGACTCTAGAACGGGGTCATTTTTACTACGATTTTTTTTTCAAAGTATTTCAAGCAGTAGCATTCATTTGGTCTTTGCAGCAATACTACAGGTTGGGTGGTGGCGACATTTAAGAGAAATAGACACTTACAGGGTTCTTAGTTCAGGTAAATGTTGAAAAGCAGATATTCCAACAAATTGGATGGGATTGTCATAGAAATGTCTGAAAAATCCAAACACCAATGTGTTATAATAAAGCTGATGGCCAAGAGAATATGCTTCAACAAATCTACTAAGTGCAGTTGTTGCTTTTACTGGCTGTTTCTACTGATTCCTTCACATCCCTAACACTCAGTTCCGAGTGAACATCTCACATTTTACACTTCTGTTATATTTACTTATTTGTTTATTTGGTGGGTGTAGCATGCACACCAATGCATGCCATGGTGTATGCGCGAGGGTAAGAGGATAAGTTGTGAATGTGAGCTCCCAGCATCAAACTCAAGTTGTTAGGCTAAACCTGCTGAACCATCTCAGTAGCTCGCTGTAGGAGATTTGGGGTAAGGAATCTTTACTCTATAAAATTTAAAGAGAAAGGACTTGGGGTGGGATTTAGAATGAAGTAGAATGACAATGTGCGAAGATGTCATGACAAAACCCACACTGTGTATGCTAACCCACAAGATTAATCAAAAAGAAAAAAATTAAAATTTGGACAGCAGGGCTGGTATGAATGATAGTTACTAAGCAGAAAAGCCCATGAACTGACTAAATGTACTTAAAGATTTTGTCTGCCTCCACCACCAAATACTCAGTAACAAAACATAACTTGCAATTCAGTCTATCATCTATCTGTCTGTCTATCTATCTATCTATCTATCTATCTATCTATCTATCTATCTATCTATCTATCATCTATCTACCTACCTACCTACCTATCTATATCTGTCTGTCCGTCTATATATCAATCTATGTATCTATCTTTGTATCTATCTATCATCTATCTATCTATGTACCAATATATCAACTATACTTAACTATCTCTATCTGCCTATTTATCTATTTCTCTCTCTCTCTTTCTCTATGTATCTATCATCTGTCTATCAATCTATCCATGTACCAATATATCATCCATATTTACCTATCTCTATCTGCCTATCTATCTATCTCTCTGTCTATCTATCTATCTATCTATCTATCTATCTATCTATCTATCTATCTATCTACCATCTTTATGTCTATGGAAGGTTCTATCTGTTGGTTGAATATAATTACCATAACACCTACAAAGAACTCTTCATATTATTGAGAAGAAGTGATATACTCTGGGGTTTATCTAATGTAAGAAGTTTCTTGAATTAGTCATGACTCTAAGATATGAGACATTATTAAAACTTAAAGAACATTTTGCATTATAGACTTTTTAATGTAATCAAAATGTAGTTCAACTGTTTTGTCAATGGAGCCCCACACAGATTTCTTAGCTGAGGCCTTGGGACAGTTCAATTGAGTACAACAAATCTTTAATCAGTGTCTACTCTGCTCAAACTGTGAAGAAGACATTGCAGAGATTTAAAGATTTGTTCATTACAGAAGCTGCCATTAGGAATTATTCTAAACGCTGGAGGTTGAAGAGGAATGATAAAATATTCCTGTCTAAAGGAGCTTAGAGTCTGATGACAAGTAACAGCATGCCACCTTCTATTTGACAAAGCAATTGATCTGTACAATAACTTGGATCTACGGCGTAGATACTATTTTCTTCATGCTCAGGTGAGAAAATTGAGCTTCAGATCCCCAGGAAATTCATTATCACCTAGATCCTCAATTTAAGCTGCGATAATAATGAGCTTGGTCATGGGACTTGTGTCGCAACTGGAAACGCTAATGCAGGTACAACACCTTACATGGTTGGTGACCTAGCACATCTAAGCACTTTTGGATTCGGCCGCTTTTTTCTTTCTTCTCTCTTAGGATTAGACAATTGTTAAAAGAATTGCCATGGGAGTGGGGGAAATTTGGGTTGGATATGATCAAGATACATTTCATGCGTGCATGGATTTTTCAAAGAATCAGTGAAACAATCAGAAAAGCGTGACAACTGGAATAGAGGCATTATGGCTTAAAATGGAGCCTTCCTCACAGTACACCTTCCTTGGCTCTATCAAATACTTATATGCACATAATTACACTCACACACTTGTGCAAATATACATACACTAGACAGGTATGAATATATGTGCTTACATGGGAAAGGCAGAAATATCACAGGTACAAATAAAAAGCTCTGAGGGGTCTCTGGGGGCAGCCCTCCCATTTGTTGAGGGAAGGGTAAAAAATTTATGAAATACCATTTGAAATACATATGAAAGAATTCCGATCATCTTAGTGCAGGGGTGGAATCTCTATGTTTGTTGTACAAACACAGCTTGGGTAGCCGGGTTATGGCATGGTTGTGGAGAGCTTTGGGGAAACAGGTTAGGAAGGTTGACTGCGGAAGACTGTGAATGTCAGGTAAGAAGTTTGTATTTAATCTAAATAGGCAGTCCTGGATGTCTGTTTCATAGTGACACAGTGACAGGAAGGATGCTGTTTCCAGCATCCCTGGCGACTTCGGAGAGACAGGGAGACCCGCCTCAACTACACTGGGACACTTCAAGAAGTAATGGCTAAAAAGAGAGCATTGGGTTGGCGACTGCCGAGGTAGAAATGAAGGCTGGGTCACCAGCTAACAGGGCTTGGAGTCAGACTATTTAGAGGTGACTATGTCGAAAAGGTTGGCGGTGATGAGAGATGGAACCGCCTGTGTGAGGAGGACGAGGAGAAAGCGGGCAGCCGCGTGGAAAGGGGCGAGGCCTCCAAAGACTGTCAGGGCTGTCACTCACAATGCATTAACATGCCAAAAGAGCGATTAAGCACCAGTCCCGGGGCTGCAGGCAAAGAGCAGAAAGCCCAGGCAATTCACTGATCCTTTAAGATGTAAATGCTCTCTAATGAGGACTAATGTTTATTCGGCAACAGGATTCAAAGCCCTTAGTGTGCCAAAATATTGCCAGGACGTTTCAGAGGTGATGAATGGTTTTGTTTGTATGTGAGTTAGCTGCCCCACCTCCCCACAGTTGTCTAGGCTAATTGGGGCTCTGGCTCATTTGTGACAAATGCCACATGGTCTCAGAAAGCCTTTCTCTCAAGTTAGCACTGGAGGTACCCCTGACAAGCATGGTTGCCTTTACTCACCTTCTCTATGATAGATCTGGGACCCATTGCTAAGGCTAATACACTTTCCTAAACCTACCTTGGTTTAGGTAAGGTTTTTTTTTTTTTTTTTTTTTTTTTTTTTTTTTTTTTTTTTTTTAGATAAAAGACAGGTATCTTTTATCTAAAAAACAAAAACAAAAACAAAAACCTAATAATTACACATTTTTATTTTCTTACTGTTGATACATAATAAATGTTCTATCTGTGTTAAGTGTGAAGCAAAATTATTGGTACTTTGTGATTATAAATTTATTGTATTTGCCAGGCAACAGTGGCGCACACCTTTAATCCCAGCACTCGGGAGGCAGAGCCAGGAGGATCTCTGTGAGTTCAAGGCCAACCTGGTCTACAGAGCGAGATTCAGGACAGGTACCAAAACTACACAGAGAAATCCTGTCTCAAAAAAACCAAAAAAAAAAAAAAAAAAAAAAAAAAAAAGGAAAAAGCAAAGAAAAATGTATAATATATTAAGTCCTTATAGTTCCCATTCTAGAATACACGTACCTTTCTGGAATTACACCCTAGTTTTGTTTAAGTGTGACTCAAATTTGTTTACAGATAGACAGAGAACATTAAACAGTATTCAACTCTCACAGCCAGCAATTTAAATCAGAGGTAAATTGTTTGCCAAGACCCTCTTTTTGTATATAATACTTTATTTTTCTAGAGTACTGGGGTTGAATTCCTGAGTGACGAAGAGGCCTGCCATTGGAAGCCCTAAAATCAGGTTTATTCCTTGCAAAATACAGGTAACCAAAACCACTTCTAAGATTAGCTGTGGCGTGTGACGTGGCATCTGAAGGCGGCGACCGTAAGGCGGCAGACACCTCAGATCCTGAAAGATCAACCTTTAGTGTCATTTCAGTGTTTAGTTGAAACCTGATGAAATATATCAACGAAACCTGATGAAATATATCACTCCTGTACAGATTTTTGCGTGGACTGAGTCAGAACCGAGGCAAATTAATTAGCATGAACTGCATTAATCCTTAAATGTGCAATATATTTAGAACTGTTACATATCAGGAAGTTGAAGTAAAAAGAGCCCAGTAGGCACTTACATTGTGATAAGGGAAGGGTTGCCTATGAATGCTTTCTCAGGTATCGACCTGATGTTGTTGCTGTGGAATCCTCTAGAAAGAGAGAAAAATAATTATAGAAAGTCATGTGTGTGTCTCTGTGTGTATGTGTGTATGTGTGTGTGTGGGGGGGGCAGGGGGATTACTTAACAGCTCCCTTTGCCCTACCATGTAACTAGAATCAGCATCTTTAGTAACCAGCGTATAGGTAACTCCTCTCTGAATTGTGAACCCTATGCCTCCTCCTTCACCGCAGAGGAGCAAAGGAAATCACAAGCTCTCCTCTTGAAAGAGGAAGAGAGGCCCTGCAAACCCTGACTCTGCTTTACGGAAACGGGATATTACGTTATAAAAGGACAATCCTTCTGTTGATATCCACTAGAGAACTGTTGCAGAGCAGCTTGAGTGCAGTGCGAGCTATCTTTGGAGAGAGGATTAGGATTACTCTCTGTCTGAAGCCAGAGAAGGGAAAACTGACTTAAGCTGCAGTGAAGTAGAGATTTCAGGAAGCTCCTTACAAGGAAAATGCTTAGTGAGTCTGTGATAATAAATCGATTACCCCTGCCAGGGCAAATACCGTCTGAATGGCAGAGAGCAGAGTCAAGGGTCTTTGAGGGCTGTATGACCCGTGGTTGTTTGAGGTGTGGGTTAGGAATGCCTTCCTCTGTCAATACACTACCCAGCCAATACACATGTTTCTCTGAGGCCAAACCCACAAAGGCTTTTTTCCTTATAAACAAGCTACTCTATCTATCTGTCTGCTTTGTGGAAATAAGGTCCCAGGCTTATATATATATATTTTTTCAAGAGCTAAGACAGTACTTACTTAGGCTATTTGTCTTTTTAGATAAAAGGAAAAGCTAATTAAAATTTATCATTCAAGACACAATATATGCAGCCATGGTTGGAAATGAGTTTACCTTTAGTGAAATTGTGCTTAGAAAATTAAATAAAATTAAATAAAGGTCACCCAGCATTTAAGATGCATGTAATAAGATATATGTGATGGTATCTATTACTATACAAGGGACACATAATTTTATTCATACAATTCTATATTTATGCAACTCAGAAATTTCTAGATTCATAGAAATGTTTAACAAATAACAAAATTCTATTATAGTTGTATTACAAATATACAAAGAATATAAATGGTACTAGATACATATCACTTAGGAAAAATGGAAGTATATAGGTTATATAGATATAAAATATATGTTTTTATATACAAATAAGAAAGGCCACTTATAAGTTCAAAATTATGATTTTTTGATTATGAAAATCAATTAAAATATACTTCAAGTGTGCTAAACTATTATTTATATAAACCTAAAATATTTTAGCCATTACACATAATTATGTCAATTTTAAAATAAATTTACAAAGAGCAAAAGTTCATTCATTAAACTGGTTTTAATACTTACAGTTCTTTAAGGTTGGAGAGCGTCTTGATTGCAGTGGGGAATTCATCAAGGTTATTATAATTTAAATCTCTAGAAATGAGTAAGGGGTATTTTCAGCATTTCATCTAAAACTCCTATTTCCTCAATTCACAAGTTAAGTATTCCAGTGGACCCCTTATCATAGATAGAAACCCTTTTTCTTTCTCTTTCAGGAGACAGTTTATTGGCTTGCTGCCAGCTAGTACTTTAAAAGCAATGTATTGTATTTAGCTTGTGCGCTTGTGCGAGCATGGGAGCTTGCACGCGTGTATGTGTGTGTATGTTCAAGGAGCATCAAGCACGCTTGTAGAAGAGAACTGTTTTGGGGTGCTAGTTTTCTCCTTCCACTGGTAGGTTCCAGGGATGGAACTCAGCCAATCAGGTGGAGCAGCAAAGGCTTTCACCTGCCGAACCATCTCTAGGGCCCTGGCCACCAGTAGTCTGAAAACAGTGGCATTGCAATAATCAAGCCCCCAGTGAATGCAAATCACAAGCCAAGGATCACTGGTGTGTGGGAGCCCGTTCTCGGGTTCCTCGTGGCTTTACCCAGCAGGTCCACATAGAGGATGATTAGGACCACGGGCCTAAGTGCAGGTGTCTGAGATGGTCTGCACTTGGCTGTGCTGGGGGAGGAGGTCTTTTGCTCCACCCCTTGGCGTCTCTATAAAAACCCTGGGGCAGAGACAGTCGGGCCCGTTGGAATAGGTTCCAGACCCTCTCAAGGCTATCCTTTATTTTCTATCTGTTTATCTCCGCGATATTCTCCGCAATAAATCCTTCTATCTAATATTTCCTGCTGCTCGCACTCAAGAAAACTCTGGGGAACTGTGGGGGTGGTTGGGTAAACGCCCCACACTGGTGGTGGGTCATTTAAAACAGGGAGGGCCCTGCAGTAGCTTTGACTTCCAAGGAGGGGTGATGCTTGCTTGGTCCGTTTTGACCACTTCCTGGTGGAGCTCTTCCTTGGGACCTGGTTCACGGAATTGCCAGCTGGTGTTTGCATTCTTCAGTCCTGGGACGCACCCGCTTTCTTGTTCCCGGCTTCCCATTTAGAAAGTAGGACATGAGACCCGCCTTGTGCCTGGCTCCTGTGGAGAGCCTGTGTCTTACTCAGCCTGAAGTCCAGGACAGGACATGTGTTTTTGGAAATGTTTATGTGACACACAGGATCCTTCGCAAGGGCATGTAGACTAGAATTTTCCCTGAGTCGTAAATGATCAACTCAAGTTGGGTGTTTGTCTTGGTCTGCGAGGCAAAGCTCTGTATTATCCCTCATACACAGAGATGGAAGAGCCAGAGAACCTCAAACCATTCATTTCTCCATCGGTAATGACACAAATGGCATTTCAATCCCATTACTCACACATGTTTTATAGGCTTACTCCTCCTTATACCTACATCTTCAGATGAAAAGGGAATTGCTGTCTGGTCCCTGGGAATGACGGATTTCCCAAATGACACAGAAAACTCTTTTGGTAAGGCAATCAGATGTGGTTAGCTCCTCCTCAGTAGAAAAGAATCGCTATTTAATTTTAAGAGAAAGATAATTTGACTTGAGTTAGACATGAATCAAGATTTCTACTTGTCTGGCACAAGCCATCCCTAAGCTATTCTGCAGGCAGGAAACTCGTGTCTTTTGTGGACATAAATTTTTCTTCCTGTTTGTAAATCTCTCCAGATGCTCTGTTTTGATTAAACAAGGACCGGACCCTTATAAATTACTTGGCTTTCTAGTCAGGGAAAGGAAGAGGTTGGGGAAGAACCAATTTACTGATCCTCTGTAGCCCTGGGCAAAGTGGGGCCAGACAATAAGATTCACAGATTTCTGTCCTGAAATATTTTACTCTGTGGTATTTATATGTATTTTTCTGTAAGTCTGGTTCCTTACCTAGGACCAGGGATGGGAAAAGCACATTATAGAAACATCCAGTAAAGCTAATTTTTTTTCTTTTTTGCTCCAATTGTTCTATTAAAAGGGATGAGAAAGTGTCACTTAGAGGGAGAGACCTTCTAACTTTTTCCTAGTGGCCGACAGAAACTGCTCTCCCATGCCATCAAGGCCCTGCCTGAATGAGTTCCTGTTTGACACCTGTGGAGAAGTGGAATGACGGGTTGTTCTGGAAGGAGAGTCATGGGTGTTCACTTGTTAGGAGAAGATCCAGGAGACATGGTCTCTCAGGAAGCAGGTTGATCCAGAACTGTCAGAAACTAAATGGACCATGGGTAAACTGTTAGTGTGCACGCAAATGAGCAATGCTCCCTAAGGTCACAGAAAGCTTGGTTTTGTCATTCTAAGGCCTTGTGTAGTTAATTGTATTTCGGAATTGAGCATGGGAAGTGGTTTAGGATATCGCCACAGCTACTTTCCCTCCTACTACAATCAGAACTTCTGCTGCCTGCTACCCATCCTTATTTCACTTCGCCGGCTCAACAGGGCATCGAAGAGTATGTCCTCTACCAGGAGGCGGCTTGTGCTCTAGGTAGATCGTGAGATCTTCTGCCCTGGCCCTGGGATCTAGGCTATGGTCGGCAGACTGGACCCATTTTTATCCAAAGTACCAACAAAAAACTGAGCTAGTTCTGTTGTTTGTTGAGATGGGGGTCTTGCTATGTTGACCCAGGCTAGTCTCAGACTCTTGGGCTCAAGTGATACTCTGCCTCCGTCTTAAGAATAGATTGAGACCACAGGTACATGTCACGGTGTCCAGTGGAACCTCTGACCTACTCTTTGAAAGTAGTATCTTGAGATAAACATAGATTTTCAGAATCGGCTTAGAGAAAGGAGGAATTCCCAGTTACGCTACAGGCTAAATATGTAGCCTTGGTAAAGTAACTCAGTGGGGTCTAAGACAGGATAGAAATCGTTGTTCAATAGGATATTTGTAAAAATTATTCAAACATTGTACATCAGTGATCAAGTGACGTCGCCCCTTGAATTACTTCAGTATGAACCATGTGCCGTATGAAGAGCCTGCATCTCAGGGTCTGGGCCCTTTCTTCAGAGGAGCCAACTCACACACAACTGGTGATTAGTGCTCCTGGCAAGAGGGATAGCTCTCCGGGAGGAGAATACACGTTCCTAAGCCAACAGTCACCGCTTTGGGAGAACACCTCATTTAGCTTTAATTATTCTCGCTAATTTGCCACTCTTAAGAGATTAAAATAGAATCTCAGTTTGATTGTTCAGCTCTGTGGGGTGTGTGTGTGTGTGTGTGTGTGTGTGTGTGTGTGTGTGTGTGTTGTGTGTGTGTGTGTGTGTGTGTGTAAGATAAAACCTCTGTAAATATCTGTTTAAAGCTCAGGCAATTAACCAAACCAAACATCAAGTTTGGCTTTAAGGCGGGTTTGATTCCTTCAGAATATTCATGAAAGCTCTGGGAAAAGGGTAACAAATAAAAGGTCAACTCACAGAGTCTCCAGGCTGTGGAGCCCATCAAAGCATTTCTTTCCCAGGGAGTGGATTCTATTGTTATGGAGATGCCTGCAAGAAACCATCACCCACAGTCATGAACAGGCACGAAGGCGCACTGCCCAGAGAAAAGTCAGGAACAACATTTTGGATGTTTAAATCTACAGGAAGGTGAAACACGCACTAAAGACAAGGAACGGACATTTTTAGAAAAGCCCCTCTGCTGCCTTCACACGTATTGTAGACGATTCCATAGCATAGAGTTCAAGATTAATGACTGTTTGTGTGTGTGATGATTTGAGTGATTCACATTTTGTTGTTGTTGTTGCTGTATTTTCCAGTGTGGTTTGCTCATTGTGTCTTGGGGACAGAGTGCTCCGCAGAGTTACTGAGTATCACTGAGGGAGGTGATGGGGTGGATGGAGGGAGGAGGGTCACACGGGATCTAAGCTTGTTTTGTGATGACTCCATTCCCAGGATCGGGGCTGCAGGTCGTCAAGAAAGGATTTCAGCTATAAGGGACTAGAGAGCGCACTTTTTCTGCTGCCCAAGACTAGTAATCTTGACAAACTATTAGTGTGGGCAATCATCATCTCAGGCCCAACTGATAGATCGGGTGTGCCAGAGTCAGTGAGAACAGTTGTGTACACAACTGGAAAGCAGACTAACTCCCAAAGAGGTTTTGGAAAGTGGGTTTAAGGGAGACAAAGTTAAAAAAAAAAATAGTACTGGAAAAAAAAAAATCAAAGGCCATAGCCAGCTTCTTCAGGATTGAGAGCGGACATCTGTTAATATCCTGTTAAATTTCTTTTCTTCCCAGACTAAGATCTTTCTTGTAAGAAATAAAATTTTGGTTTCAGGTGAGATCTATGTGGCATCTCTTCAGGCTCTTTTATATGCAACAGATGGGAGAGGGGATGGAGAGGATAAAAAACAAAAACAAAAACAAAAGCAAAAAAACCCAAGAGCCCTCTTAGGAGTACATGCTACAAAAGAAGAGATGGCGGGCAGTCAGCTGCGGTAATGAAGTGGGCTAGCTGGAGAAGGTAGAAGAGAGTCAGTGGGTGATGGGGGGCAACGTAGCCCCTCTCTACACTCCCCAGCAAGGTTTGTGTCATACATGACTGCCCAAGACCCATCCGCTTAAGGCTTGGCAGCCAGCCTGTGGTGTTACAGCGATGGTGGTGGGTCCTATGTCAGTGGGACCTAGTGGAAGGAAGCTAGGTCGTGGAGCCTTGTCCTTGAAGGAACTATTTATTGGGCATCCCAGCCCTTCCCGTTTCTCCTTATGCTTCCTAGCTGCTACCAACTGAGCAGCTTTGGTCTACCATGTACTGTCGGTCACAATGCTCTGCTTCACCACGGGTCCAGAGCAAGGAGACCACTAGCCACGGACTGAAATCACTGAAATTTGAAGGTCAAAGTGCCTTTCTTCCCTTTAAGTGGTTAATCTTTTTCTTTCTTTCTTTCTTTCTTTCTTTCTTTCTTTCTTTCTTTCTTTCTTTCTTTTTCTTCCTTCCTTCCTTCCTTCCTTCCTTCCTTCCTTCCTTCCTTTCTTTCTTCCTTTCTTTCTTTCTTTCTCTCTCTCTCTCTTCCTTCCTTCCTTCCTTCCTTCCTTCCTTCCTTCCTTCCTTCCCTCCCTCCCTCCCTCCCTCCCTCCCTCCCCTCCATCTTCCCTCCCCCATTTCCTTCCTTCCTTCCTTGACAGGCTCTTACTCAGTAGCCTACACAGCTTGACCAAACAGCTTTGGCTGGCTTTCAAACGCACTTCAGCCTTCTAAACCCTAGGATTACAGGTGTGGGGCACCATATCCAGCTTTATCTCAAACATCTGTCCTGGGGATGGAACACAGACTAACACATCAAGCGAGCTGATCTTATAATCCTTCAAGCAGCAAGTGCCTCCAAACATCAGCCTTCGATAAACGTCGGCTAGTCTACTAGACACATGCGGCAAACAGTTTTACTGCTGAGGGAAGACTGATTAATTTCCAAACCAACCACTTTGATTTTCTAAAACGATGAGATGTGAGCAAGGCACCAGTGGTGGTACATGCCAATGATCCTAACACTTGGGTGGTGGAGGCAGGAGCATCAGGGCTTTAAAAGTCACCCTCAACTGCACAGCCAGTTCAAGGCCAGTCTGCTTGCAACCTTGTTTCAAAAAACCCAAACCAAACTCAAAGAAACCTAGATCTCAAAGAGAAAAATGCAAAGCTGTAGAAATGCAGTATTGCTGTCAAGGGTCAATGCTCTCCTCTCTCTTCTCCTCTCCCTTTACCTCCTTTTCCTTCCTCCTATCCTTTCCTGTCTTTCATCAGTACTAGGGCTCAAACCCAGGTACTGATTGAAGCTAGACATTCTGCCACTGGGCTATATCCCCAGCTTGGGAATGAGCTGTCTTCTTTTTCTTTAGCCAAAAATCAATAAAAAAAAAAGTACTTGTCAAGGCTGTGAATGTAGTTCACTGATGAAGTATTAATACTTGTTTAGCTAGCATTTGTGATGCCTGGTTCCATCCCTAGAATTGCAAAAAAAAAGATCCCATTATTAATATATATTGTTAATAATCAAATTATCCTTTTTTTTTTTTTTTTTTTTTTTTTTTTGGGTTTTCGAGACAGGGTTTCTCTGTGTAGCTTTGCGCCTTTCCTGGAACTCACTCTGTAGTCCAGGCTGGCCTCGAACTCGCAGAGATCCTCCTGCCTCTGCCTCCCAAGTGCTGGGATTAAAGGTGTGTGCCACTACCGCCCGGCCAAATTATTTTTTAATAAAATTTTTTCATTATTTTTGTGATGACTTCTTTTAAAATGTCCAACAGATTCCACTATGGTAGAGATGCTACTTGGTCTTTGTAATGCCCAGCAATGTTTATCACTAATCGGGTATTTGATAAATGTTGTAAGTCATTGACACAATTGGAAGATTGATAAGTCATTTTAGAGAGGGTCTCAGTGTTTTCTCCTCCCTTTAAAATGCCTCCATTCAAGTTTTGAGGTCCAACACTTTAAGATCTCAGAGGGAACTCAGTAACCGTCAAAACAGAGAGCAAAATCAATAAAACTCACAGCACCACCAGGCTGGAGAGGTTTCCAAAGGCAAGGTCTGGTAGATGGTGTATTTTGTTCAGGGCCAAGGTCATGGCTTGCAGTGCTGATAAACTTCTGAAAGCCTGGACAGGGACTTCCGTCAGGGCGTTGTCATCCAGCCACAGGTGCCTCAGGGAGTGCAGGCCACTGAAGCAGCTGGGTGGCACGTAGCTGATGTGGTTGGCATCCAGACGCCTGGAAGGAAGCAAACCAGAATGGCAAACAGCGAAGGCCAGGCAGAGAGTATGGACTTTGTGCGCGTTCATTAGCCGCAGCGAAACAGCCTGCGGAGCTCCAGGCCCCAGACAAACTGGAACGTTTCTCTCTTTGGATCAGCCCTCTTCAGTCTGCTTAAATCCTTAAGCCCTCTTTCTTTCTTTCTTTCTCTCTTTCTCTCTCTCTCTCTCTCTCTCTCTCTCTCTCTCTCTCTCTCTCTCTCTCTCTCTCTTCCTTCCTTTCTTTCTTTTTTTTTTTTTTTTGTTTTTCGAGACAGGGTTTCTCTGTGTAGCTTTGCGCCTTTCCTGGATCTCGCTCTGTAGCCCAGGCTGGCCTCGAACTCACAGAGATCCGCCTGGCTCTGCCTCCCGAGTGCTGGGATTAAAGGCGTGCGCCACCACCGCCTGGCCCTTAAGCCTTCCTTAAGGTGCTCTTTCTCCCATCCAGGCTTGCGGGTAACATGAGGTATAAAATCGCATCCCGTTCGGACGCTACAAGGCAAACCATTCTGTCACCTCTCATTCCCACCCCAAGTCAAACGAATGACTTTGCGATCCCAGACTGTTTGGAACAGACTAAGCAGTCATCTACTAGTTTGTTCCTAAGTGCTAGGAAAAGATTCCTTCAGTAGTTGAAAAAGAACCAGTAATTTTTGAAAGGCTCTTAGATATGCCTCTGGGAAGAGCTTCAAAACTGTGGGCTGTCTTGCTTAGCCTAATCACTTGCCTTGGGCAGATAGTTGTTTTTCTGACATTTTAAAATGAATAATAAAATTAGCAGCTTCCCAATGCTTGTTTCCTTTTCCACTTTTTCTTCCCTTCCCTCCCCTCCCCTCCCCTCCCCTCCCTCCCTCCTTCCCTCCCTCCCTCCCTCCTTCCTTCCTTCCTTCCTTCCTTCCTTCCTTCCTTCCTTCCTTTCTTTTTTTTTTAAAACAGGGAAACTGTTAGGATTCTGCCACCACTCCAGCTGCATGACCACACATGTGCAGTTCAGGAGCTAAACAAGGATATGGTGATATTTTATTTGTATTAAAATGTTATTTATATGTTAATAAATAAAGTTGCCCGGGGGTCAGAGCTATTAGCAAGCCATAGGAAAGCAGAGCAGTGGTGGCGTACGCTTGTAATCCCAGCACTTGGTAGGCAGGGCTGGGTAAGTCTCTGTGTGTTCAGGGATACAGCCATTATTGGATACACATGCCTTTAATCTTAATACCAATCATGGAAAACCTGGAGGCCTATACAGACAGGCCGTGAGGAGGCGGTCATGTGGTTGGGTTTACAACCAATGAGAAGGCAGGACAGGACCTCTATATAAAGACTTTAACACAGGGGTAGCTCTGGTTCGGAGAGGTAGGACCACCGCAGGAGGAAGGGTAAGGTTTTAGCTCTTAGCTCTGACCTCTTGGCTTTCTTCTTTGCATTGGTTCTGTGTTTCTTATTTAATAAGAAGGTTGGTTACATCTACACAAGGGGTCTTGCGTCTTAGGTCATCTGTGTGCTGCATGATTGTGCAAAAGGACACAGTGGGGTCACACAATCAGCGCATGTGTGCCATAGCTCTGTAAGCCTACCTGTGCATATGCAGGGGAATCCTAAAAAGCCGGACACAGACTCCTCTCTCTTTTCTCTCCTCCCCCCTCCCCCCACATGCTTCTTCCCCAGGCCTGGTTCTTTTGTCCCCATCCCCTGCTTCCTTCTAATAAAGCTCTGATACTGGGTTTTGTCATGTCTCATGACCTTTTCGCCCGGTAACAGTGTCGCCTATCATTTTTAAAACAACAGAAACACTTCTAAAAATAGGTCTGGTTAATAAGCTGTTGTCACTTCTGAACCAGCAGAGGGAGTGCAGTACATTTATTTCGTCATAATTCAAGATAAATGGTAGGTGTCATTTAAGTAACCTAATGTTTCTTATGGAAATCACAAAATTGAAGTATTTTGATTTTTTTTTTTTTTTTGGTGAAGTACATGAACAGTGGAACTACTACCCATCAGTTATGTTTCCGACAGTCTTCACTCATTTTTTTTTAAAAGACTTACATTTGCTTGCATTTTCAAAACTAGAATTAAAAACCAAACCAAACCAAACCCCTGGAAGACTTGCATTTTATGCAGCTCGTGTGTTAGGAAGGATTAGAAAATCGTGAAAGGATTTAAAAGAAAGTGTTTTGGAAGCATTTAAGACTAAACAGATGCAGGAAGCACATGAGAATCGCAAAATAATCCCCGGCACACCAAATTTAAATAGTTTAGAAATAGAGAAAGCCCTCTGTCGTAGAAAGCTAATCTCTCTGGAAAGCGGCTTTCTCACTTTTGGCCACATGCATCATTCTAGTCATCCCCCAGTTCCGACTTCTATCCCATGAATGGGAACAAGTGACCCCTGATGGGTCCCGAGCCAAGTTTCAGTAATAATTGCGGTAAGGTCACTTGGAACAAATGTTGGGAGTTGGCTGTCCCTGCTAACACTCCCTCGCTTTTCTAGCAGAGCCTCCATGATTGTAGGAGCGGAAACACGTCTCCTCACATGGCAGGGTTCTGTCAACAGATGAACTGGAAATGCTTGGGAAAATTCATCATGGCCTTTCTCCAGCGATGTGCCCGTGACAGGGCACTCTTGTTGGTTGTTTATTCTTTACTCTTTTGGCTTTTTTGCTCTTTGGGGGCCCGCACCCAGCACCTGAATAAACCACACAGGGAGTCTTATTATTACTTATGAATGCCCAGCCTTAGCTTGGCTTGTTTCTAGCCAGCTTTTCTTAAATTATCCTCATCTACCTTTTGCCCCTGGGCCTTTACCTTTTCTTTCTTCTGTAATCTTTCTTTCTCTCTTTCTTTCTTTCTTTTTTTTTTTTTTTTTTTTTTTTTGGTCTTTTGAGACAGGGCTTCTCTGTGTAGTTTTGGTGCCTGTCCTGGATCTCACTCTGTAGACCAGGCTGGCCTTGAACTCACAGAGATCCACCTGTCTCTGCCTCCCAAGTGCTGGGATTAAAGGTGTGCGCCACTACCACCTGGCTTGTAATCTTTTTGTTTGTTTGTTTGTTTGTTGTTTTTGTTTTTTTTTCAAGACAGGGTTTCTCTGTGTAGCTTTGGAGCCTGTCCTGGAACTCACTTTGTAGACCAGGCTGGCCTTGAACTCACAGAGATCCGCCTGCCTCTGCCTCCCAAGTGCTGGGATTAAAGGTGTGCGCCACCACCATCCAGCACCTGGCTTGTAATCTTACTTTCCCCTTTCTTACTCCGTGGCTGGCTGTATAGCTGGGTGGTTGGCCCCTGATGTCCTCCTCATCCTTCTTGCCCTTTGATCCCCCTTGTCTCTCTTTTTCTCCTATTTATTCTCTCTGCCTGCCAGCCCCACCTATCCTTCCTCCTGTCTTGCCATTGGCCGTTCAGTTCTTTACTAGACCAATCAGGTGTTTTAGACAGGCACAGTAACACAGCTTCACAGAGTTAAACAAATGCAACATAAAAAATGCAACACATCTTTGCATCATTAAACAAATGTTCTGCAGCCTAAACAAATGTAACACATCTTAAACTAATATTCCATAACAGGGTACAGTACAATCTCATCAAGGATGAGGAGGCCATCAGTTTTACTTGGCTAGAAGTAACTGCACTCTCAATTGTAGCCCACCCTACAGCGTGGGCCTTTGCATTTTGGTCGGCATATCATCTTTCCATCTTAGTTGCTCGGGCATTGGCATTGCAAGTAGCTCCTAAAAGCTTTGAAAATGGCAAACCTCAGAGTTCAGTGCAATGTTAGGGAGCCGTAGAAAAGGCTTTTTCAGCATGTAATCACGGGGCTTTTCTTCTTTGATATTTTAAGTTGTGACCAGCAAGGAGTAGCCTGGTATCAGTGCCCTACATGAATACATCCATTATTTATGAATGAATTCATATATGTGTATATGAATACATCCCTTGGGGCAGGGAACCTCTGAGGATCATCTTTTTCCCCCTCCTAGGAATATTAAAATATGGTCACACTACTGCATAATTTTTTCTGTCTGAAATGAATGTGTCAGAATAATTGCTCATTGTCTTCACATTCTCAATACTAATGAACACTCCCAGGCCTACTCACCCTTGACATAGACTTTAGATGTCCTGAGCACACCATTGAAATATCATTTTATGATACTGTTTCATCATTTAAAAAACTCCCAATATAAAAGTGTCACTGGGTACTGGCCTGGATATGATTGAGGTACTTTCTACGCATGTATGAAAGTGTCATAATCAAACCCATTATATTATAAGTTAATATACCCCAATAAAATATGTTAAAAAATTCCCCCCAAACAATGACCCTAAATGTAGTGTTTCAGAATTAGTATCTGCCTGGCCTCAGTAGTTCCAGCTTAGTCCAGATAGGAATTTATTGTTTATACTCAAGGGCATTGTCTGGATCAGTTTTCCCTTTCCTGTTTTATTAAAGTATAATAGGCAAATAAAAAATTGCATATATTTACAGGGTGCATTGTAGTGTTTTATTACAAGTATGTAACATAAAGTGATTAAAGAAAACTTATTAACTATTTCCTTTCATATGTCCCTTTAACTTATTAATATGTTTCTTTCCATGCTTCCTTTTTGTTTGTGGTAAGCATGTTTAGGATGTAATTCCTTAGCAATTTCCAAATATACATTATTATTAATTATCTCCATAACTTACTCACGCTCAGACCCTTTGTCTTTTAACCAGCCTTTCTATCAACCCCCAGGTCCCTGACAAGCATCATTTTGCTCTTTTCTTGATATCTAATTTAATTTTAAACTACCCCAAGGCTAAACTAGGGTATGGAATTAATTATCTACTCACTTTACAGGTGGTCCTCACAGAACAAGTTTAAGACTGCCAAGGGCACACGTCATGCCCACTCGGTGAGTCAGCAGTGGGGCCATATTGGGCCAATCTGGTCTTTGCAGGCAAGTGGACATTTTTTATTTGTATGCTTGGAAAAAGGCAACATC